GGTGGCACCCATAGCTCAGTGGGTAGGGCACTGGCCACATGCACCATGGCTGGTGGGTTTGAACCCAGGTGGGCCTGCTAAAACAAAAAAAATAGCCGGGAGTTGTGGTGGGTTCCTATAGTCCCAGCTACCTGGGAGGCTGAGGCAGGAGAATGGCTTGAGCCCAAAGAGTTTGAGGTTGCTGTGAGCTGTGATGCCACAGCACTCTACCAAGGGGAACAAAGTGAAACTCTGTCTCAATAAAATAAAATTTAAAAAAGAGTATAATTGGACGGTACACTATCAGAAAGGAGTCATTTTACTTAGCTGAATGAAATTTGTTCTTATTTTTTTTTAAACTCAGAACTTTGGGGCAAGTTTCTGAAACTACTGACTTGATCTTTCAAACCTTATTGATTAAAATTATTTTATATAAAAGTTTTAACCAGAGTCAGTGATTTTTAAGTCTCATTTATACACAAAGGAAAATGTGCTTCATTTGATAATTCAGTAAGATATAGCATTTAATGAAACCAGGGGAAATAGATCTGGCTCTGTTATAGGAATTTAGATTAGTTTTTTAATACAAATTTAAATGAATTCTGATTTTTTCCTGGCAGTTGGTGAGCATTTTCAAAAATTCATTTCAGTAATATTTATGAATATTTATAAAATTCTTAGGTTTTCCTATGAAAAATTTTATAAATATCATGCTAAAATGAACTTCAAAAATTTTCAACTGCAGTATTTTATGGTACCAGAATGTTATTAGATATTATTTGAAATTAACTAATCAATGGCATAGTATTAGTATTATAGACATTTTCATTGTAACAATATTTGACCTATTTAAGACATATAGCTTGCTTTTTTGAAAGGAACAGTAGGACAAGTTACAATTTAGCTGCTTCGATTATCTGCCCATAGGTCCTGTAATAACTTGGACATCCTAGGATATGTCAGAGGAAATACACCCTCAAGGAAAGATTTTAAAAGTGATTGTTTCATTCTCTTTCATTTAAAACATAAATGTATTCCTATCCCCTTATATGAAAGGAAATGTTACATAATCAAACAAAATGCTAAGATACAAAATGTGTTCATCAAATCCTATAGGGCATGTCATTTCCCCGTTTTACAGAGGAAACTGAGGCACGCCTTCATTTACCAAAGGTCAGACAGCTGGAGCTGGTAGTCAGATCCAATCAATGTAGTTCTAGAGTCAGCTCTTATTTCACACAAGTATTTTTCCTCTTTGAGAAAACCTGAAATTCACAAGAAAGGAACATTGAGATAATCTGTTTCTGTTAACATTTTAATTATTTAAATTTAGGAATGTCAAACAGTGATAGATTTGGCTTTTTAAATAACTGGGTTTGCAGTCTTTACTTTCTTAAAGCTTGATATTATTAATAAGACTTGCAAAAGCATCAGCCTTTTAAAATTCAGTTGTCTTCCTGAGATAGAGAAAATGTCTACTGACTTTATTATATTAAGAATAGTATACTCTGAACCAATAATCCAAAGCTTTAAAATGTAAGCAAGGACATTATTCATGTTATTGTTTTTTATAGTCATAAATTAAAACCCCCCAAATAATTACCAGTACAAGAAAGATTAACTAAATAATGATACATCCCCAGTGTGATACTATGCTACCAGCAGAAATGATAAATATATACTAACATGATATATTGTTTCACTGCAATTCAGGTTACAATAGTATGGCCCATTTCAAATATTGTTACATGTGGAGGTGCATGCCGAAATGTCTAGATGGATATTCATCAAAATATTAAAACTGTGATTATCTCAGGATGGTAAGATTACAAATGACTTAGTTTTTTGTAATTATATGTATTCTAATTTTTCACAATGAGCATTTTACTTTTATAATCACTAAAAGAAAATAGTTTTTTTTCTTAAAGAGCAAAAACATGAAATTTCCTAGAAGCAGTACTATTTAGCTACAAATTAAAGCTTTCACAGCAAATGACATGAAAACTCATATACACGGATACAGTACCATAGAATTCAAAAACAAAAGATAAAAACATTTCAAACAACTCTTTCTTAATTAGCTAAAACAGAGAGATTAACACAAACCTTTCGAAGCTTAGGTAAATCTAAGGAACAAATCATGCTTAGAAGTTACACCATGGCCATCTCCAGCTAATTCTCTGTCTTTGTCCCTTTGTGGAGGTAGAGCAGAGTTGGTGCAGCTCAGTGCAGTGAGTCAGCCATCAACTAAAATCCATTTCCCTTTCTGCCCGTCCTTCTGCTACAGCGCTGTCCAATAGAACTTTCTGCAACAATGAAAATATTTTCTATCTGTGCTGTCCAATAAGGTAGCCACATGCTACATGTAACTATCAAGTACTTACAATATGGTTTGTGTATCAGAGAAATTGAATTTTTAATTTTATCTCATTTTAATAAAAATGTAGGCCAGGCACAGTAGATCACATCTGTAATCTTTTCTTTTCTTTTTTTTTTTTTTTT